ATATGTCATAAAAAATAGTGGAAGTCGTGAAGCCAAAAGATTAGAACTTGACCAACTGAATAAATAATAGGGCCAGTCATTGTGGGTGGTTTTATCATTCCTTCGGATTTATATTAAATTATATCATCCATTCTGGAGAAATAGGAACCCTTTTACACTGTTGGTGGGAGTGTAAATTAGTTCAACCATTGTGGAAGACAGTGTGGCGCTTCCTCAAGGATGTAGAACTGGAAATACCATTTGACCCAGCAATCCCATTACTGGGTATATACCCAAAGAATTATAAACCATTCTATTATAAAGACACATGCACACCCATGTTTATTGCGGCACTGTTCACAATAGCAAAGACTTGGAACCAACGAAAATGTCCATAAATGATAGACTGGATAAAGACAATGTGGTACACATGGGCCATGGAATACTATGCAGACATAAAAAAGGATGAGTTCATGCCCTTTGCAGGGACATGGATGAAGCTGGAAACCATCATTCTCAGCAAACTGACACAAGAACAGAAAACCAAACACCGCATGTTCTCACTCGTAAGTGGGAGTTGAACAATAAGAACACATGGACACAGGGAGAGGAACATCACATACCGGGGCCTGTCAAGGGGTGGGGGGCTAAGGGAGGTATAGCGTTAGGAGAAATACTTAATGTAGATGACAGAGTGATGGATTCAGCAAACCACCACGGCACTTGTATACCTAAGTAAAAAATCTGCATGTTCTGCACATGTACCCCAGAACTTAAAGTATAATAATAAAAAAATTATATCATCCATGTTCTTTACTGTATTTGGGTTGAAGAGGTAAAAACATGGTACCTTTCTGAATCATTAAGTACATGATCTCTGCTAGGATCCCAAATCCACTAGGGGTTATTCTTGTTATTAAGAAATAACCCCCAGTGGATTTGAGATCCTAGCAGAGATCATGTAGATAAACTGTATGTCATGTGGATAAACTCAAACCTCTCTGACTACTGATTGATTAATCAGCCTCTCCTGAAACATTTCTAATAATGAAAGTGTACATTTTTGGACAGATATTTTCATTCATTGAGCATCTCTAGTTATCATCAAGTAATTCCTTTTGTTGCTCCCAAATCACTTATTGTGGTTCTGGAGCAAGGATATCCCTGACTCTTAAGGATGATCTTCATATGCTTGGAGAAAAGGATTCCTTGTCTTCTTTGAATTTCCTGAGCTAGTCATCACTCGACATGAGTAAACATCTAAGTCCCTCAGGTTCAAAGGAGGAGATCAACAGAATCTAGACATTCAAAGAAGTGTCTGGGAAGATCATTTCGAGAAAGGGTCCCTGAAGTGCCCTGAAAGGTAATCTTGCTTCAGGACTCTGGGGAGAAGAAAAGCACATTGATTCCTTATTTTCATTATATCTGCAATGTGTTCCTCCCTACCTCGAATCCTGCTGCCTAGCAAAGGAAATCGATATCAAAACTCAAACATGAGTACATTGTGATATCATGCGAATTCAGTGGAATTCAACAAGACTTTTGTAGCTGAAATTGGAACCAAATGTCTCAAAATACACTTGTCTTTAGAGAGCATGGACTTGGAACTTTCAAAATGGAAAGAATGATTTAGCTTAATCAAGGTCAGTTTTTTAAAAGCAAGTTTTTTTCTGTGTATATGTGAGATACAGACTTGCAACTTTCTTAGCTGATAGAATTGAATATTTAAAAGGCAAAGTTTGGGAGTTTAATTCTCATAAGGAACAATTAGCTTTGATCAGAACAAAGTTCTGTGCTGTGTGTTCACAAAATCCTAGGTAGTGGTAATAATAAGTGAATGAATGATAGCTAACAAGCACAGAAGATTTTCTGTGTGCTAGGCACTCTATGGAAGGCTTCACACAAATTATTTCATTTAATGCTCATAACTGCTCTGTGAAGCAAGTTCTCCTAGGATTTATTCAGAGTAAAATCTAACTGTTTTCACTCCCAGTGACCCACTCTATCTCTGCCCCTGCCACACTCTGCTCCACCCACTGGCCTCCCAGCTCTCTCCCAAACATGTCTGCCCCAGGGCCTTTGCGCATGCTCTTCTCTCTGTCTACAGTGCTCCCCAGGTAACCTTCAAGGCTCATTTTCTCCCTTCTTTCAAGTTTTCTTTTAAATATCATCTTCTTTTTTTTTTTAATTGCATTTTAGGTTTTGGGGTACATGTGAAGAACATGCAAGATTGTTGCATAGGTACACACGTGGCAATGTGATTTGCTGCCTTCCTCCCCATCACCTATATCTGGTATTTCTCCCCATGCTATCTCTCCCCAACTCCCCACCCCCCACTGTCCCTCCCCTATTTAGCACATTTGGGAAAATTTTTTTTTTTTTTTTTTTTTAAATATCATCTTCTTAGCAGGTCCTTCCACCACGCCCTAGAAAACAGCAATACCATCTCTGCCATTACATGATGTTCTTCTCTGCTTTATGTGTTTTTCATAGCAGTTATAATTTTCTAGCCCATAATACAATTGATTTATCTTTGTGTTATCTGACTTGTTACCTGTGTCACTTGACTAGAATGTGTGCCAGAATTTTTGTCTACTTTTGTTCACAGCTCCAAACTTGGTACCTAGAAACCCAACACATGGCAGGCACTTCATAAATATTTGGTGGTTATATTTTATATGGGAGGTAATACACACAAAAAGGGTAAGGTCATGCCTTTTATATAAAGAAAAACTTCATTAGGAACCTGTGTTCCAGAAACCAGTCTTGAAGTACAGATCCCTTTCCGGGTAGGTTGGCGCCATTTGTAGGGACAATGCATTAGATCTGTATAATATGTAAGTAGCAATACATACCACCAATCAAGAACATAAGGAAGTATTCCAAGTGTGTTCCATATTCAGGAATTATGTAATGATAGTTAAAAATCAGTTGGAATATTTTGTGACTCTACTGGGAAATTTTATTTCACAAAACTTGAGGGAAATGTGCCAAACTAAAAAATGAAGATCTAAAAGTTCTCATGAAAATGTTTTCCCAGGGTTGTGCCACAGCAAGAATGACAGCATATAATACTTCTTTATAGGTGCCATTCAGATTCAAGGATCTTTTCCCAAGTTCCTTTTAGGTAAATATATTTAACCTCCTTAACAATGCAAGAATCCAATTTGCAGATGAAGCACTGTGCTCTGAGAGGTGGCGTGCCTTCCTGAAACAGCCGGGTAAGGGGTGCAATGCGGAACAGGATAGAATTCTTTTGTCTCTGTCTGGCACGCCTGCCCAGGCTTCCTGTATTTATCATTTTACAATGTCTTCTATCCTGAGGAAAAGCCTCAGTTTTTGTAAATGACTAGCTTACTGTCTCATCGATGAAAAAATATAGAGCTACAAATATTACTTTCCCTACCTCTTTTTCTGAGGTCTGCTATTGCACAGATTCAAGAGATTCATACCGGAGGGCATACATCATCAGAGTAAAATTAGCGTCTTTGTCTGAAGCTCATTTCACTAACCAAATAGCCAGGCATAGAAAGCTCACATTATTACAGAGGAGGAAAAAGGCAGCTGCTGACAGGATCACTAAGAGCAAGGGATATGAGGAAAATCTCAAAACTCTGACCACCTTTTTCTTAACCATGTTTTTGCCGATTATTTTCTCCACAGCTGTGGAAACTTGTTTCACCTCCATTCTTTTCCAAAAAAAAAAAAAAAAATTCTATCCCGGGGGAGAAAAAAAAATTAAGACCTCAACACCAAGTACAAATTGCTCATTTAAAGAACAGGAATGAAGGAGGCTGGGGCTTTTCTTCCTTAAAAGCTCATCACTCTGTAGAAAGAATCTGAATGCTGTCCTGATTCTTCTTGAGCAGTGGAGCAGTTTTTTTTGGTTTTGTGTGAGTTAATTTTAATTAAAAAAAAAAACAACACCATTCTTGAGAAGCTGTTGCTATGAGACTTCCTGGGCCACAACAGATGGCTGCAAGAACAGTTCTCAGGCCTGAGCTCGGAGCTCTGAGGCCTCCACTCAGGCATACCATTAACATTCCTGAAATACCTTCAGAGGCAATGCAGGCCAGCCACCTTCAGACGGCTCACCCGCAGCTGGCCTCCCTGGTCAAGGGGCCAGGGTTGAAATTTGTTATAAATGAAATGGTCAGGTCTTTCCAGGAAAAAGCCAGAGGAGAGAAGGTGCTGTCCTTAGTTTAGGCTTCAGGAAAACTTTACCAAAAACCCACTGGGGTTTGAGTTGTTCAGGTGAGCACATGCCCAATTAATTTCATTGTTTTAACGCTCTCTCTCCCAGTCACAGAGTGATCCAGTTAAGAGAATCAGCATATTTTTGGCCTGAAGCATTTTAGTGCCAAGAGAGAACTGCTCAGGGAAAGGTTTAAGGATCCCTGATTTCTCTTTTGACAGAAAGACAAAAAGAGAAGGAGAACTGCATGGTATTTGAGGTTGTAACTTCTCACCAGCTTCCTGGTACTGTCGAACAAATTCTTCCATTTAATCCTTTTTCTCTCTCTTCCAAACTAGGATAATGATATATGACCTATCTCAGATGGAAGAACTAGTGATCCATGATTAATAAACAACTGAGAAACAACTGGATAAATATCAGGTCACTAAGACTGGGCCTCCACTCCTGCGGGGATGAAGATAAGGGAAGACCTTGCAGACTCACTTCAGAGGCTGATTGCTGGGACCCCCCGCCCCGGGAGGGCTGATGGGCAATGCTGACCACAGGTTTTAGTGGGTGGAGGCTACTGGTAGCCTTATGCTTACTAGGGAGCTTTAGCGCGTGAAAAAAACAAGTGTTTCTGAGCAGCCATAGCTTCTCAGGGTGGGGCTCATTTACATTCCATCTCCAGATTTTTCACTTTAAAGCCTGGTGTCCAGGACAGAAGCAAAGTCCTCCTGAAGTGTCTGATGCTGGGGTCTCTTGACCACTTGTGGAGCCTCAGTCATTCTATCAGTCTCGGTTCACACAAGTTTGTTGAGAGCTTTTATCTCAATGGAATCAGATGCTATGCCACCCACACCGCTCTGCAGCTACCATTTGGGTTTCATTATTTAAACCAGTCAGTCCAATTAAGAAGCAAAATGATGTGAGCCGGCTTAGGTTCATGCCTTCCAAAATCATCCATTTGTCTGAAAGGTATACCTTCCTACCTGTCTTAATGTGATCTTTAAGACTGCTGGGAATTTTTTAATTTTTTGTTTTCTTAAAAACATGCCTTTTAGGGGTTTGACCTAACAAGAAGTGCTACCTTTTTCCTATGAACCAGTAACATTTTATTTATTTTTTTATTATTTATTTATTATTTTTTTTGAGACGGAGTTTCGCTCTTGTTACCCAGGCTGGAGTGCAGTGGCGTGATCTCAGCTCACCGCAACCTCTGCCTCCTGGGTTCGGACAATTCTCCTGCCTCATCCTCCTGAGTAGCTGGGATTACAGGCACGCGCCACCATGCCCAGCTAATGTTTTTTGTATTTTTAGTAGAGACGGGGTTTCACCATGTTGACCAGGATGGTCTCGATCTCTTGACCTTTTGATCCACCTACCTCGGCCTCCCAAAGTGCTGGGATTACAGGCTTGAGCCACCGTGCCCGGCCACCAGTAACATTTTAATGAAGTCATCTATGGAGGGGTGGAGGTGAGGAAGCTGTTTCTATTTCCGTGTGTCTAGGGCTACCCAAACTTAGCTTGCTTGTCTGCTCCCTATGGCCAGAGCACATTGAGCTAAGGGAGGTCTTCCCCAAGCTGTTCAGCCTCTGAACGCACAGGCCTCCCGGACCCCAGGAAAAGTCAGAGGCCAAGGCTGGACTCCGTGGGAAGAAGGGGACAGAGAGACAGAAAGAGAGAGATGAAGGTGTCTGATGTTTGCAGTCTTCCTTTTGCAGAGCTGAACCTTCTAAGCAGAGCCAAGGGGGTGAACAGTGTGTATCTCGGAGAGGGGGGCGGTTCGAGGCTTTCTTGTGCCCCATTGTGCGTTGTGCTGTCCACAGCACCAGAAGGGACCCTCACCAAACAGCAGTCAGGGACCCTGGCAGGCATTCCATAGTTCCCTGATGGAGGCTTTTAAAAATGGTCACTCAGGAAACAATAAACTTAAGATACTTAATCCCCTTACCCTCCAATCTAACTCTCTAGTGTTCTTGGAATAAAATATTTATCTTAGTTATTAATGATTGTGTTAAATTACATATTTAGGGTACAGACTAGGGCTTTCTACGCTCTTTATATGACATGTGGGTTTGTGACTTTATTTACTTTTGAAGTATTGTTAAGTTTTTCAGCAACCTCTCTCTTCCTTTCGGTGCCTTTTTAGGATACTGGGGTTTTTATGAATAGTAATTATGTTTAAAGACAGTGATTAGGGCTAAGATTAGGGTATATGATTAGGGTATTGATCCCTCTCCATACAAAAAATGACTTATCTTTAACCCAGGAAATTATCTTTGATTTATATATTCTCTAGGCTGTAATTCATAAGTAAAGGTAGATTTTTGAAATGTAAATCAATGCTAAATATTCAATATCTACTTAGCTTTCCAATGTTCATTTCTCTTTAACTCCTTCAACATTTATAAATTCACTTAGTATCTACCTACCTATGGATCTATATTTTAAAATCATTTACATATACATTATATTTTTAAGTGATTGCTTTATACACTTTAAGATTGTGTGATGATCATATTTCACCTGATGGGTAATGCCATTTCTAGTGCTTTTATTCATGAAAGCAGTAATATTAATATTTATATTAAATGTTACTGTGTTATATTATTATAGGAAAATGTTTTTATAAAGACACGTTAGCTGACAGCTGAAAAGAATGGAAAACTCCAACTGGCTATAATCACTGGAATAAAAAAACACATTTGAGGATGATTAACACAAATTCTCAATGACCTGTTTGCCCTATTGCTGTTTATCACTTGAACAGAATCATTGAGAACTGGTAAACACCTTCTTTCATCTAAGTGTTTACATCCTTGAAATTAATGAGGTTGGAAAAGTAGTCTCAGAACCTCTTTGGATTTATAAAGGAAACTTTACCCATTTTCAGAATGTTTTTCATGAAAAAAATTTAAATCCAAGGGAAAATTACTTTCCTTCCTGTCATAACAAAACAGGCAGGGTGAAAACACTAGTTCCCAAACCACCAGTCTTTTTTTAATCAATCATCAATTATAAAATCCTCAAGTTAACAAATATGCTGACAGCAACCCCAGAGAAAAGACAGGATAGTCCCTGAAGCATGTGTCTATTGATTTACAAGTAAAATGAAATCAGGGCAGAGTTTAAGCTTAATCAGAATCACAGCTTAACATTCCTAAGCATCTCAACTGTTGCTTAAATCTAGGTGCTTGCATTTATAATCCAACCTTCTCTATGAAACATAAGCATGAGAAGAGTGAGCCAACCAATCAATATAATCCAGTTTTGCTGCTGAAGTGAAATTCATTGATTCACCCATGTTGAACAAACATAAAAAAGAAAAGCTGCCTTCATATCCCAAATGAGAAGGTTAAATATAGCTTTAAAAATAAGTTATCATTAAAATTAGACTATAAATCCTGAGGTTGCATGATTGGAGGGAGCCAGGATATTCAGACTGACTTGGTATTATTCTCCAAGTTAGCATAGATATTTGTTGGTCTTAGTTAAAAGTTACTTTACTCTGTTTCACTTGAGCTTCTCATCCAATAGGAAAAAATGCCCGTTGCCTGAGAGGACTACAGTCATTTGTCAAGCTCTCTCCTCCCACTGCACATCTTTATTTATTCCTTTATATTATTTTGTCAGCATATCTGACAGTCCAAAAGCTTGGTGATTTCATCAGAAAGGCCTAACTAACCTGAACAACTTCCCTCTCTCCAGTTCACCTTCCCAATACCGGCATTTCTGCCAAGATCAACGGAGAAATAATGTCGGCGAGAAATAACTGGGTTAAAATGGACTTACCTTAAGGAAGGCTATGCCCAGGCACGTCCATTGTCCTCAGTTATCTGTTGGACATTTCTGTCCTGCGTGACACGGGGCCAAGGCAGGTCCACCTCGGGGGCTTGGTGGCTTGGGGGAGGTGGCCCAGAGACGCGGTTCCGGTCCAGGAAGGATCCGCAGGAGCCAGCCCCAGGAAGGCAGAGCTGAGACACAGGTGTCTGACACCACAGACGCACCTCCGCTGGGAAGCTGGGCTGCCCTGATTATCCAAGCACAAAAGGCAGTTTGAATGACTGCCTCCTCCCGGCCAATCGCCGGCCGCCTGCCTGACAGGAGCAGGCCCGCTGATGTAAGGGCAAGTCGGCTCGGCCAGAACCTGAGAACCGGTTTCCACGGCGCTGGCACTCGGCTCCGGCGTGCACTCCGGCCGCCACTCGCGCTGTGGTGTCCTGCCCGTCCCCAACAAGTGTCGCTCTAGGGTCCTCTGACTCACAAACACGACCAGCTGCGAAGACCATTAAAGCGGAGGTAAAGAAGAACACAGAGTCGGCAGCTTTCTCTACCCTTCTTCCCAGCCCTGGCCAATCTGGCTTCTTTGTAGCTAATTAAGTTCAATGTTTAATTAGCTATGGTTTTTGCAAGCAACAGTTTCTTCCAGACACTGGGAGAAGAGGCAGGAACAATAAAGATCTTTCTACAGTCATTGTTCTCAACAATGAAATTCGGTATTATAAAAATCAACACAGACATAAAAATGGATCATTTATAATAAAGATGTTTCTCATTAAAAAAAGACAAAACAACAATAACACAACATTGCATCTTAAAATTCAGCACAGTGGGGTGCGATACAGCCCGTCTTTGTAGATGAAATCATAACAGATTTCCTAAACTCCAGTTAGAAACTTTACTTGAATCTATCATCTGAGCCCCTGAAACCGCAATCCTTCACAGCTGTATGGATAAGTAGTGCTTGATTCAAGTTTGGTATTTGCCCCAGACTGTAGGGGTCAGCTTAACAGTAACCATAGACACAAAGAGAAAGAGAGAAAAGGAACAGCACACACAGAAAGAAAATGGGACTCCAAGAGTGTCTGAGTTTGTGGGCATGGAAATGTATTTTCCTTAGTTTAGAGCCATCATGATGGGGAAAAACGTGCAGGATGCACAGATAATTTATATATTTCCTTGCAAAAGAATTTGAACAAGATTTGCAGGTTATTTTTTAGTCGTAGAAAGAAGAGAGAAAGGGAGCATGCCCCACCCCCACCGCCCCCAGAATTCTGAAATCAGTGGGATTATTTTCTACAAGCAGTAGTAATCATTCCAGTTGCCAAGAAAGTCTAAAGCATCCTGGACGATATCATTGCATTTCAAATGTGATACTAGTTTTATTGAAAGATTGTTCCTGTATTAACTAGAAACTCTGTCTCTCCATAATGTTCCACTTGAATTCGAGTTATTTATATCTCTATAATGTGAAATCTGAGGAAATGAAATTGAGGCAAATGTGGGATAGGAACAGGGTGGGGCACAGAATCATCTTTCAAAAGAAGAGAAGTCTCCCACTAGCTCTTGCATGATAGATGCATTCATTCAAAAGTAGCCTCCTGGCCGGGTGCGGTGGCTCATGCCTATAATCTCAGTACTTTGGGAGGCCGAGGCGAGCAGATCATGAGGTCAGGAGTTCGAGACCAGCCTGGCCAACATAGTGAAACCCCTGTCTCTACTAAAAATACAAAAAGTAGCTGGGCCTGGTGGCATGCATCTGTAGTCCCAGCTACTCGGGAGGCTGCAGCAGGAGAATCATTTGAACCCAGGAGACAGGTTGCAGTGAGCCGAGACCACACCATTGCACTCCAGCCTAGGTGACAGAGCAAGACTCCATCTCAAAAGTAGCCTCTCTTTTCTTCGGAGAGCACAGTTCTTATCCCAGCTTTATGTTTTCCTCTCCCCACCAGGCGACTTCCCCAAAACACCACAACAGAGTGGAATTTCCTTCCATCATAGGCTACTCCCAGCAAGGCTACTCAATAGCAGCCAGGCCATGCAATTCATTTTGAGTATGTCAAATTTAACAA